CTCTAGATCACATTAGTGTATACGTTTCTGTTCTCTGGATTACATTAGTGTATACGGTAGTGTTCTCTAGATAGCATTGGTGTATACGTTAGTGTTCTCTAGATCACATTAGTGTACACGTTAGTGTTCTCTAGATCGCATTGGTGTATAAGTTAGTGTTCTCTAGATCACATTAGTGTACACGTTATTCGTTTTTGTTCCATAGATAGTCTTTGCATTAGGTTACTGTATTATACTTATCAGTGCCACCAAGATCGCATTTACCTTCGCATGTTTCCGGTAAAACCGAGTGCTGAAACAGCGAACTGAAATTGAAGATTGAATTTGGTTTCTATGCATTTCAGAACAAGTTTTACTGTCTCGTTAGTAACTATTTTACTTTTAAAACTTTCTGGATACCATATTATTGAGCCATTGAGGACGTTTAACCTCTCTGCCAGCGTAGATTCATTGAGTGTGGCGTTTGTGCAGAGGTCGTATAATTCGAGCATGGTAGTCTGGAATACAATATTCACATTCGTTTTGTGTCCAACGTCTTTAACATAATTGTCAACATCTGGAACATTACAGCGGAAAACAAAATCGTTTGAGTCAATATCTTCCCCACACGCGCTGTTACGTAGAATTCCACTGTTGCCAACGACTGCGCAATTCTTCTGCCGTGGTAGATGGTATGTCGATTTATTCAGAGGTATCCAATTACTTTGGTCCAAGTCCATATCCTCGATTTGTATATCTTTCTGATAAATTCGTATCAGGGTTCTCAATGAAAAATTGTCAGTTATATTTTGCCTGAGAATAAAAAATAAATAACTTATTAATAATACCAGGACTTATACTACTATTTCTTCGAGAATACTAGCGTACGATATGTCATTGAAATGTACATTTGTTTTTGCATTGGTTAAACTGATGAATGTATTACTCCTCGTCTCAAAAGTAGAATATTAAATATGTATACAAATCCTAATTTGTGTCATATCTAATTTGATGATATTTTTTTCACAAGATATGCAAAGGGAGGTTCTTTCCCATCATGCATTGCTAATATGCTTAATTGGATAATCAGTCATATTTGACATATGGTTGCACTTGTTAATGTCGCCATTCGGCAAATCAACAGACCCAAATTACAAATTAAATGTGTGTGAGAGAGGAAAGTACATAGACGAAACGTGCAAATACATGAAAAAAAAAAAACTTACTTGGATATCAAATTGTTGATGCCAAAATTATTGTTCTTGTCATGCTCTGTAGTGACACTATAAAAGATTACGTAATTATTTAGATCTAATGCTTTGCAGTTGATACCCCCGGCTAGTCATAACAATTACACTGCGTAAATCTAAGAGCTATAATACGGAATCTCAGATAGGGAAACGTGGTATTTTTTGTAACAATTTACATGTGTGTGAGAGAAATGTACACAGAAAAAAAAAACACAAAACGCGGCAATATACGAAAAAAAACTTACTTGGATATCCGACTGTTGATGCCAGAATTATTGTTCTTGATATGCTCTGTAGTGACACTATAAGGAAATACGTAATTATTTAAATACAATGTTATGCAATCGACCCCCCCCCCCCGCTAGTCATAACAACTACACTCCGTAAATCTAAGGTGTATAATACGGAGTCTCAGTTCGGGAATATATTTTCGTTTTCGTCTCTCAAATTACATGATACAGTCATACGTAGTTTGTATCTCTGATTTTGATTGTTTTAGTTTTTTTATAGTATAATAGTAGTATAATCATGAAGAAGGGCACATAGTAAACACAACAAAGTAATTTGGGGTGACATCTACCGAAAATCGTTGTTTACTAACTCTATTGACAAGTGTGTCTCTGCAGACGAAAATATACGATAAACACATAGGTGACATTTTAAGACCCGGATGAACACATTTATTCGTATTTCAAAATTGACACGGAGGGCAAAACACGAATTTTATAAATGTATACAAATCCTAATTTGTAATATAATTTTAACAAATATATTTGACTCAGTTCACTTCA